CGAAAAAATACAGTAGTAAAGTAGCGCCCTCAGCGAATATCTCGATAACCGCTATCCATCAGAAAAACTTGACTTTTGCAGATAAAAACTTTTAGGTTTTCCGATTGAATTTGAGAATTTCACCCAATGAATTTGTGGCGCACCTTTTCTTACTGAAGTGCATCAATGTCACTATAGCAGATGCACTGAAACGTCAGACCACCGACCATTAGACCAAAAGATGTTCTCAAATAAGGGTACCCTCTCCCTCTTTTTTGATCCTCTTGAAAACCAGGGAAGTCGATGTTTGATCGGGCTAAAAACTATACCACCGATAGAATATCGAAAAAGAAAATCGATGTACGTTTGCCCGGTACGTTGTCATCCAGTCACATTCAGACCCATCGAAAAAATGGTCTGATGAAGCTCAAAATTTTACCACAGATATTTTAGATCCAATCTCAGATTTTTAACTTAAAAATATTCTCACGGGAAAATTTGAAACTGAAAACGCTTAAAAGAAATTTAAAACCTGAGATAGAGTCTAAAGTATCTATGGTAAAAATTTGAACTCGATCGGTCGTCTTTTGCAGTTTTGGATTGATAGGCTTTTTTATGATTCCTCTGCTAGTGGTTCCATTGCTGTTATTAGTTTTCAGAATTTCAGAACCTCGGACTCTCAGCTTGAGGCCACAGCTTTGCCTAAAACTGAAAACATTTAGAATCTCAGGAATTCTCAAATGTCGTTCGCTCAAACATCGATCGCTCAATCATCGGTTGACATGAACTTAGATTTACAAGATTCTGCTAAGCGGCCCTTTTTTGGGTTATTGGTCTCAAAAGTTACTTCAGTATGCTAAACAACTTTAGTGTAAGTCTGAAAGAACGAATGCAAAAGCTCACTTGAAAAATAGCCTTGGTGAATTAGCCATAAAATTAGGAATGAAAATGGAGTTTTTAAACTAAAAATTCGCCGCTGTGCTAAGGCTTGGTTTGCTCTGCCACTAACGCAGCGAAAGAAAAATCAAAAAAGTCTATCGAGACTTGGTTTTATAGAGACATTTTCACCTTTGTGACTCTTAGTATGGTTTTCGATCAAGTCCTTGCTAAAAGATCATAGGAAGTCGCGAATGGTCTCATTCAACTAAAAATTTTGTAAGACGAATCGCTCACTGAACGGCGGTAGAAACATTCCCAGTGAGAGGCACATACTAACATGTGCAAAGAGCTGGGCGAAGTTTCAAGGAACCCTTTTCTGAAATAAATGATTGATCGAAGATTGCTTTAGTAATCTGTTGATGTAACTCTTATGTTTAGGTTCATGCAATCTATATACAATCGTTGATGCGATTCATCAAATTATAACCGTTATTAGAGAAATGAAAGGTTTGGTTACAAAAAGGATAGAAACTGTTACCGATGCAACAAAAAATGCCAATGAACAGATGTAAGTTTTAAGCTTGACTAATCGATTAATCATTTGCGCGCAAAAACAGAGAACATTGTTGATTACCGTAGCTAGTCAATGTTTTCGTCCGTTCATCGACCTTTAATTAGGGACACTTTTTATTTGAATCTCAAATAATGTTTAACACATAATATTTATGCGCAGTTATTTTTATCATACTTCTCCCTATTTTTCTTTTTCTAATATATGTAAAATCTTTTGTCTTCATTTTCAACCCAATTTAAGGTGCCGGAAGGCACATAAAAATAGATTTTCTTTGAAATATAGGTGGTTAGATAGAGCTCGACGAGTAGATTCTGAATATGTCCTTGGAATTGAATTTTCATCAAGTTTGGCTGGAGAAATCTACAAAATACGAAGGTATAAAAAACCCTTTTTGAGAAAACTTTTAGAGAAAGACTTTACCCTTTTTCGTCACTGTAAATTTTTGAAACTAATTTATTCAGATTCAACAAGTATTTCCAAGTAAGTTTGAGCAGCTTTCATCGTTCTTGTTGCTGTCGCTAGGACGGACTGATCAATCAAGCCACTAAGGTATACCCTCCTGCGCCAAATATATGTAGTCTTTTGTTTGTATGTAGTCGAACAAATTTCATTTATGCAGAAAAATACTGCAAACGTAAACATTAACGTTCTGTCATATATCATGTACAACGATCGAAGTTGTGCAATACTTTAACGATCAGTATCACTCTTAACGAGTAGTATGCAGCCGACCTCTATTTATACGAGGATTTATATTTGTTTTTACGCTCATAGTGCTGCCATGGTAGATAACTAATAGATAGTTTTTACTTGGGCTAGATAATTATCCAGCCCAAGTAAAAACTATCTATAAGAGTTCAAAATATTAATCAATTAATCAGCCAAAATGGAAATTCAAATTTTAATCCAAATATAAATTCAAATGTATATCCAAATGTTAATCCAAACGGGAATCCATATGTTAATGCAAATATATATTCAAATGGAAATACAAATGCAAATCTTTCATTAAATGATTTATATCAACTCCAGTGTAGACGAAATAAATATATTTATCAGAAGGAAATCGTTTATCGACTCGTGAACTATATTGAAAAAGTCGATGGTCACAATGAAGATGCATTAACTCGTATGTTATTTAACCTCAAAATATATTCATATTATCTTGTCTCTTTTTAGCATCAACATCAGTTATATGAATCCATTTTCTCATGCTAGTCGACAATAATAATCATGGAAAATAAATTAATAAAAAAGAAAAAGTCATTTCAGTTTTTTCTTTCTTAATAAGTCTATTGCCTAATGTATTTCCTGTGTTCAAAAAGAGCATTTAACAATTTTTTTTTGAAAAAACGAGTGAATAAATCTAAACAGACCAATAAGAAATTTTAAGAATGATTAGACAGAAACTACAATAGGCGTGTTCCATGAGAAAGTTGCTATAGACTATCTTAAGAACGGCTAAACGTAACGAGCTGTCCTCTGGTTCATAAGGGTTTCTTGACGCGCTCCTTCTTTTTCTCTCTAGAAAGTTTTCTCCAAAAGATTTGGAAGTACGGTTTCTAGAAAACTGTGGTTTTTCAGCTATTGGTGTCGAAGAAAAAGAGTTTTGTAAAAGACTGCGCGTTATAAAAAAAAAGCCTTTTCCAATATGATATTCGGATTCAGCATGCAAAGACGAACATTTTAAAAAAAATTCACGTCTCTAACACAAAATCTAGACTTGTATATTGTTTGTCCAATTTTAAAAACTTCATTTTTTTGAAATTTGAAATAACTCAAGATGGGTAGGTGATATAAAGCTGGTTTAAACGTCAATCGATAGAGAATTTAAAATTGAACAAATTTAGCGGTTTGACAATATTCACAAACCAGGTGATCTTGGTTTTTTAGAGGATCTTTAGAAAACCCTCTCTCTAATTTAGCTTATTTTCCAATTTTTTTGAGTTTTAAACTTTATTATTGAGCTTTTTTGGATTCTACGCATACGAAAACATATGAATCAGTCAAAATTCCAATCTATTATTTGTCGTTCACGAGATATGGGTCTCTGAAGATTCCAGTTTTCCAGGCACATTTTAGCAAGAGCAACTCTTCTCCCGTTAAACGACCTTTGCTCAAAGCATTTACATTATTCAACCCCTTTCACCCAGACCAAATATCCACGACTGTACACCATTCGGCAGAGACTTTTACGAGCTACAAAATGATATATAAGGCAGGCTTAAGAAAACTAGTAGTAGTAACTGGGTACTCTAAGCTCCGAAATACTCGGTAATTTCTCAGCGAACCCGTAGGTCAACGTCGTTCGTCTTTATAATATCCATTGATTTTGCCGTTAACCATTCCACTTTATATGTCATTCGATGGAGAATTTCAAGACCTTCAAACTGATCCATGAATACCTCTTTCAAAAATATGTCCACATTGGTCAATAGTTGAAATACTTGGCCGATATAATGATTTTCACCTATCTTAGTGCTTTGAACACTCTGTTAGTCAGTTTTCTGCCATAACAAAAACGTATGTATTGTTCGAAAACATACCACTGGATAGCCCTTGAAATTCTCTAAAACGTGAACTGGTCACAATATCCAGACAGGTCGGGCCAGTCATTAAAGATATGGAAAAGAAGCTTTTAAGTGTTATCTAAGCAGTACAATGTGTCATAATCACAAGAACTCTCTTGTTTTTGACTTTTTAGTAAAAGCTGGAAGCAGTCTGAATAATGTTTTGAATAACCCGAAGATTTTTCTATCAGATGAGGTGCATATCTCCCTTTCATGAGAAAAGTTGATAATAGAGCTTCTGGAATACCTGACCGTTGGAAAACCAAGTCCTTAGATTTTGGTCCGAAAATTTTGCAAAACATATGACCTGATAGAGCGAAAAATTCTGAACAAAATAAGACATTTCGCGGCATTCTATAGTCCTCTTTCACATAACTGCAGAACAGAAGAACTTCTTGTGGAGAACGAGTTTTTCACGAAAAAGAGGAGATGCTTGTGTTCTGTATTTTCTATCTTCGTCTTCTTCTGTCAAAAACCGAAAAAATTAGTCAGAAAATTTTACTTACTATTAGATTTAGTAGGCTAAGATATGAAAAAATTTTAGTTGGCAAAATGAGTTGTCGACAACTTGTATATGTCGGCTAAGTGGTGTCGGCCAAGTGACCCGAACCCATTAATGTCGTCATATTATTCTATGATGAATAGGCGATCATAACAGGCATGTTCCATTACATAACTATCTTAAGAACGGCTGAACGTATCGAGCTGTCCTCTGGTTCTTAAGCGTTTCTTGACCCGCTCTTTCTTTTTGTTTCTAGAAAGTTTTCTCTAAAACCTTTAGAAGTATGATTACTAGTGGTCCGGGTTTCTAGAACTAAAAAGAAAGAGCGCGCCAATTCTTATGAACCAGAGGACAGCTCGATACGTTCAGTCGTTCTTAAGATAGTTATGTCATGGAACACGCTCGTTGTGATCGCCTATTCATCATAGAACAATATGACGACATTAATATCACTTCAGCATTGTTCTCACAGACAACAATGAGAAAAATAAAAAAATATATAGCTTGACAGGCAAATGTATAATGAGATAGACATGAGCAATTCGAATAGCACTCATCTTAATATACTCGATTTGTCGAAGGAAATTTTACTTATTATTTTCAAAAAACTTAATATAAGTTGATATTCTTTATTCACTTGTTAATGTCAATCAACAATTTGATCGATTGGTACTAAATCCTCTTTATACTCGTGATCTTAAAATGACCAATATGACTTTCAAATCAGCAATTAATCAGACATTTTCAATAGATAATCAAGTTCTTTCAAGAAATTTTATGAAGAAATTTTACCTCGAATTTATCATCAAGTAAATAAACTTACTGTTGAACCACACTCAATGGAACGTATTCTTCGACCTATGAATTATCCTCAACTTTATTCATTAACATTTAGTAATTTTCAAAAGAGAAATACTTCTACAATATTTAAAAGGTATATTATTTAATTTTATTCGTTTTAACTAATAAATGATGAGCTTATTAGATAGAAATTAATAATCCTTTTACTTGAAGGTGATCCAATTCTTCGTAATCTTTTTAAGAACCAAATTACACATCTTAATATTGATACTGAGAATAGGGAAACAAGAGAAGTCTCTAGAACTGTCACAAACATTTATCATTTGATCTTATCTTCATGCAAATGATTAATTATTCATGTGAATTTTTGTGATTTGTTTTTTCATCAAAAGTTTCCGATTCTTGTTTCCAAGTTATCAAGAACAAGTTGCATATCTTCAGCTTTAAGTATATTAAAACTCAATGTCATGACTTTTAATGATTGCCTTTATCTTCTTGATGGACATCTTCATTGTTTATCGCACATTAATTATTCATATATCAAGAATATCTTATACATTATCACATATAGATAATATGGTAAGCAAAATGTTCATCATTGTGTTTGGAGAAAAAAGAAAAACTAACGTAAACAGATAAATATTCTTGATTTTCTTTTCTTTTGTTGAAAAAACGTCCCAAATTGAAATGTTTTTCATTCACTACATTTAATTCTACTGTTGATTATGATAATCATATCGTTCCATTACTTTATCGAATGATAAATCTTAAAAAATTAAAATTATATATATCAATTATTAGATACGACTCAACTTATATTGATAGTATTCAATTGTATGATGAAATTCTTATTAACATGACACAATTAAATAAATTTACATTTAGTATCAAGACAACAGTTTTTAACAAAAATATCGAAATTGATCTCCCATCGAATGAAGATATTCAATATAGTTTTATTGGAAGAGGATATCAACAAATTGGTTCATACGTCCAGCAAAGAATAATGAAGAGAGAAGGAAAATGTCATATCTATTCACTTCCCTATGATTTCGACTGCTTTATGAATCTAGATAATTCGTTTCAAGGTGGCATGTTTCGTAAAGTTCGATATTTGATGATGGTTGATAATTCTCCTTTTGAGCATAAATTATTGACACTTATTTCTAAAGATTTACCGTTCCTCGAATTCGGTATACCGACATTTGGGCGCAACGATAGTTGAAGTTCAAAGTGGCAGTGAGGGTGAGTGTGAGTATCAATGCTGATTAAACAAACAGTGATGACAGTTGGATATGAGTAATATAGAAAAAGTTCTCACACCATACCAAGTTTGTTTAAAGAAAATTTTATCGTTATGCATCATACTTTAACAAATGCACTCTTACTGAATGCTTTTGTCGTACATACGCCCTAATGTCTAGTAATCCTCGAATTCTTATGTATACGTAATGATCAACTACAAAAAAAAGAGAAGCAACATTCATCCACACTGATTACATTTCCTCATTTAACTGTTCTTCATTTGTGGTTGGCATATGCAGATTATGCCGAACAATTTCTCTTGAAAAAAAATATTCATCTACCTCATTTGTTAGATCTTTACATTGGATATGAATCACTTGCAACAGTAACAAACAATTTACCAAAGATGAAACATATTTTAATTTTGGCAAATTGTAAAGTCTTGATATAGAAGGACACTTTGTTTGTCCAGAAAATTTTAAAAATTATTTTCCTTTCTTATGAATGTATTTTGTAAAATTGTTTCAATAAAAGGAAATATTATGAGAAAGTTTAATATTCTCTGCTTGTGCTATGCTGCTGTCATAAAGAACAGCATCATAAACACAATCATTCCATTAATTTTCGCACATGTGTAATTTCTACTCTCTCATTGAGATTATTCATATTTTTGAGAAGTGTTTGCCAAGGAACCAAGTTTAAATTGTTTCTAAAAATTTCCCAATTAGCCGCTTTATAATTGAAAATAAGTCTTGTAGTAGGTGGTAGTTTTGCTAAACTGGACGACAATCGAAAATATATAGCGTAGTGATCACAACTCATAATAATATTGGGTACAAGTTCAACATGAGTAACACATCATTGGATTACCCACAATGAGGGGATCTAGTAGAGTGTTGGAAATTAGTCTAGTGGGTTTATTTACAAGTTGAACAAAACCCATATTATTCACAAAGTCCCTGAACAGTACCCCTTCATTAGTTGTTTGTTTAGTAGGCACACTACTCCACTCAGCACAATGTGCATTTAAGTCACCTGTAATAATAACTGAATCAAAGTTACGTTTGCGAGAAGATAAAGTAAACAAGGTTTTTTGAATATGATTAATAATCTCATTGATATCGGTATAAACCGGGCGGTAACATAGTATTAGAAGAAATTTTTGTTTAACTGAGGCCTTAATTTCAAAAAACATACATTCGAAATTATCATTTTCAAATTCGTTCAGACGTTTGACATTAACATCAGTACGAGCATATAACAAAATGCCTCCTCCATGTCTATTTATATCCTTTCTAAACACGGGTTGATAATTTGGAATTAAAAGACAGTAAGGATCAATGAAGGGTGATAACCAAGTTTCAACCATACCAACAATAGCTGGTTTAGAAAAAGAAAGAAAGGCACACCAAGCATCAAACTTAGAGAAAAAACAGAGAGTTTGTTTATTATCACAGATAAGTTTGTTTTGTTTGGTGACAGCACATCAGCTAACACACTACGTACATTATGAATTGATATATGTAAATGGTTTATCCTCCATTCATACTATGCGACGCCATTTTTAAAGTGCAAGAACGAGGAAGGTGCTCTCCGTATGACGCAATTCCACATGATACGACAACAACATTTCACTACTCTCATGGAAAGAAAAAAAGACGACGATAAGAAATAAAAGCAGAAAACACATACATATCTACCGATACAAGAAAAACAAGAACTGTAGATCATGATGAGAAGAAACAAAAGAAAAACCTAACGTATTCACTTATGTAGAGCCATTTTATTGACTTATCAATACATCCACACATTCAACTAAAGTTAAAGCATGAAAATCACCTGATGTTGATTGATAATACACATATCCATTTTTACTGAATACATATCGTTTATCTAATTTTGCACGAGTGCACATATAAATGAAATGATTATGACTTGTTATATCTTCATTGACATAAACATTCTTATACAGTTCACTGGATTTTAATTTTGTACGATATTTATAGAAATATTCTTTTATAGAATAGCGTACAAATCTAACAATTATCGCCCTGTTTTTACTTTTTTCTAATCGATGGGATGCATAGATATCATTGTCTTCAACTTTCACACCCATTACTTTACCTACATCTAATAGTGTTTGTATCCTCTTCTTTGTTTTCAGCTATTTCATAAATACGAAATGCACATCTCTCTTGATATTGTTCTAAATCATTTGTTTTATAGCTAAGATAGTCATTTCTTTCTTGTAGATCTTGAATCATTTCTTCTAGCTGCTACATACGTGTCTCCAATGGAGCTATCTTTTGTTTAATGATTTCGTTTATCATCTGTTGGAAAGGATTACTACTGAGTACATTTTGAACAATTGAGCTAATTAATGAATCTTGAGATATCACAGCTGTAACAAGTTTCGATACGAATTCCTCAGATTTGAATATATTTGTAATATTATCCATATCAGAATTTATCTGTAACGTAGGGGCAGGAGATTTCAACGATGTTAAGTTTCGCTTATAACCGATGTTAAGACGACGATCATCTATGGATTAAATAATTTGCAGTTTAAATTATTTGCAAATAAAAATCTCAGCGGTTAGAATACACGTCTGTCCATAGATGATAAGAAAAGAGAATGAAAAGAGAATAGAAGTTGTTATGAATAGATCAGAACAGAACACATAGGATAGTATAAATCCCATGGACAGAGATAGTGACGTATCCATAATAGTTTTTCCTTCCGTTCCTTGTCGTACTGACGAGAAAGCGGCTAGAAAAATATCTTGAATACGTCACTGATTATCGGTGGGATTTTAACCATCTTGTATTTTCTGTTCTGATATATAGATAATAATTTTCCTGAGTCAGAGAGAGGGGGAAAACTGATAAACTCAATGAGAACATATAAATAGGCATGTTTGCAAAACTCAGAATTATAGAGGTATCACATATTCACCTGAAGAAACATGCGGTCCGTAATTACTCTCTTATTATTCTTCCACATAAAATATATCTTGGCAAAGTCAATCGAGGTCGATAAAGATGTATTGACATATTTAATTCAACTTGGTTATAGTAAAAGTCAATGTGGTTCAACATCGAAATTAGCCTGCAGTCTAAGTTTGTCATCAATTATTCGTGGATATCAAAAAGCATTTGATTTAAAAGAAACTGGTCAATTTGATAAAGCGACAAAAGAGTTGTTGAATAAACCACGATGTGGGAATAGTGATCTTCAACAGTCATCCGCATCACCAATGTTGTCATCCGCATCACCAATGTTATCATCAGTCAAAGGTAAATGGAGCAAAAATCATTTGAAATGGACCATCGGTAGTATATCATCGCGCATCTCAGATAAACAAACAGAACAAATTATTCATGAAGCTTTTAATGCATGGACAAAATATATTCCGTTAAATATCGAAAAAGTTTGTAGAAATTGCAAAGCTGATATTGTCTTTGACTTTGCTCATGGTGATCATGATGATGGTTCTCCATTTGATGGTCCAGGTCACACATTGGCGCATGCATTTTTTCCAGAAGATGGACGAATACATTTTGATGCTCAGGAACAATGGACTGAAAAGTAATATATAGATGTTTTACTTTTGTTCTGCACTGAAGACATCTTTTTCCAAAGGTTTGATGGTGATGGTTACAATTTATTTTTAATTGCTGTTCACGAGATTGGTCATGCACTTGGTTTAGGCCATGATACACATGATAAAAATTCGATTATGTATCCCAGCTATCAATTTATGGAGAAACATATTATTCTTCCAGATAAAGATCGACGATCAATTATCAATGCATATGGATCTAGAAATGATGAAAAGGTAAGGTAATGGTATTGGAAAAATCAAAAAAGATTTCAATTTTGATTATATATATACCGTTTGGTAAAACTGTCTTGAGGTTAGAGGGGGTAAGTCAGAGTACTATAAGATTGACGGGGGAACATGTTGGAGTGTACCCTATGAGAAAGGATTTAAAAGCATTCTATCCTATGGAGATCTCGAATATCAATATCTTTGCCGCTTTCGTTGATGTCGGAAGAAAGGTAGTGTCAAAGTTTTTCGTTTCATGACCCTTTCCTGATGTTGGATGCATCACAGCACCCTTCACTTCTGTCAAATTTGTAAGAATAATAAGTTTTTAATAGTCAAGAATCAGAGAATGGCCAAGATTCATTATGCATTAGCTCTCTCTATTACAAATAAATCTATTACGCCTGTCTTTCTCATCCAGATGCTCATCTGATAGATGTCTCAGTGTTTCCAATAATTCAGTAATACAGTGGTAGTGGCAGTTCTAAGAGGAGCAGCGAGATGGTAGCTTTTCTCTTCCGAAAGTTTCCCGATTTTTTGCAGCAAAGTTGAACAAAGGATGAGCTTCGTGTTACTTCAGATGGCCAGAAAAAACGACTTTTGATTCGTATTGACCTTCTTTTCGAAAAAGCGGCCCATACAAAAAAGAGAGACCTTTCACTGCGGATTAGTGGAATCATTCGGTTCGGATAATAGATGTGATACCCTTTTCTGTGGTACAGAGAGCTCACGTGTATTGAATCTTGGTCATACTCTGGTTCGTTACTAATAAAATTGATCGTCCTTGCAACTTTGACAAAAGTGAAGGGTGATATGATACATCCATTATCTGAAAGAGTCGAGAAACGAAAAAGTTTGACACTTCCGATTTTCAGACATAAACGAATGTAGTGAAGATATCAATATGCGAGATATTCATCGAGGTTTCGATAGGATAAAGAGTTTAAAAGTTAAAGGAACCGAAAAGCTATGGGGATAGCTTCATGACACTGCTGACTTTCCATCGTCCAGCCGATCTTTCAGTGGTTCATTTAGTCCGTAG